TTCAGTCATTAATATAGTTGGGTTAATTAAAGTGATAACTGCTCATAAAAACACCATAGATAAATCATAATGTAATAACTTCTTATTTGCTGCCTATTCTTTTTCGTAGTAGGGTATGATGTTAATTACAGCCACAATTTCGGGTTCAGTGCCGATTTATGCTTCCCAGATCAATACTGTCCACTGGTGATTGCTGGTATCACCTATAGTACACATCCGAGAGACAGCCGAAACGAAAGAACTGCATGGTCCGGTTGTAAACGCGCTAGCTACAGGAAAGGGAAGTAACGTGTTCGATCCCCACCGCAGCCACCTATGGTGCGGAGTTTTGGAAGAGGTCAGCATCATAATGCTTATATTTCACGCCATTGGTAGTTCTTTCTATTCATGAATACTTTCATAAGATTTAGACAGCCAGAATCTGTTGAACCAATTTTCAGGTTCCACTTTATTTCAGACGAAATATAGGGTCAGGAGAATGCGCTAGCACTATTAAAGACTGGAATTGAAAATAAAATAAAAATTTACATATAATTCTTTCCACAATTTAACTTTTTAAAAACGAAGCCGACTTCTCGCTAGTTTCTGGAAATTCTTGGCAAATAAAACACCTTACGACCAAAAAACTCAAGACCGAGATGACTCAAGATTCAGGAAGCTTCCAGAAAAGGCTCAGAATGTCACCTTCGAGGCATGTATGATTCCTGAAGAAGTCTCTGTTTGTTCCAAATTCGTTTAGAATTAATGCTCTTAAAAGTCTCGAAACTCTGCACTCGCGAACACCAACGATACTTTGGTGAGCACCACCATATTACTACTGGGCGAAATCCACTCATTCACTCTCCAGTGCCCTAATTAGGATTCAATCTGGAAGGGGAAAAGCAAGTTTACACAATTTTAAAAATCCAGAATTTAATGCCAGTAGACTGAAAAAGATTATAAACTGTGCGGAAAAACTTGAAAATTTCAATGGACTCTTTCGCAACTAATAAAGTTCGATAATAGTTTAAATGTGCTGGCCTAAAATCCAAAATGCGGGCTGTTTTGCGCCAACCAATTTAAAGCCAATGCGTGTCGTCGTAGGCTTGATAAAGAACTTTACATGTCAATATTCATTGTTATGTTAATATTCTTCCTGTGTTATTCCATGTTATTAGTATTTTTATCCTGTTTTATTAATTAAGCAGAGAGAAAGAGAGCTCTGCTTCATTTAGACGTATTACTTCCTTTCTGTCTTCTCAGATATTTGCTTTCTTAAATTACTTCGCTGTTCATAAATGCTCCTAATGACAGAGCTGAACTACACCTTGCTGCAAAAAATTAGAGCATTATTGCTGATGGGGATATCACAACAGAGTTCCATAAAAAACTGAAAAAGCTACTTGCTTTTTCTGTGTTAATGGGTGGTATTCTTTTCATTCTTCAAAACTTTCTTGGCTTTTTTGGCTACAAGCCAACAGAGTATCGGAAACATCACGCTGAAATTGTTTATGAAGGGGGAGTTTTATAATAGCATATTTTCACACTCCATCCATGAACACTATCGTGGCTGGGAGGTGTTCCTGGGTTGCGGACTACGGTGTACAGCAGGTGATTCATTTCCTGACAGGTTCTCTCAAGCTGAGGAGGAGTCCGGTGTTTCCACCAGGAAGCCTAGCTAAGAGTAAGCCAATACCAAAATCCACCACGTTCCTGTATCAAGATCGCATGATGCAAATATCTCTCTGTTCCACAAGGGCTGCGACTGCCTGTGGTGGCGAAGACCTGAGGCAGACTTTGGCCAGGCTGAGCTCGGGATTTCTAGAAACCACAATGGCTTAACCAGCAAATCTTTGAAAAATGGAGATTATTCTGGGGTCCACACAACCAATGAGAACAAGCTATTCAAGTATCAAGTAAATAAGTATCCATGAACAGTAGCTCTATGCTTCATCTGCACTTTCAGTATTATTTGGACAACTCTACTCTTTACTTGCTTAAGTTTGTATAGGCATCGTACTTCACAGAAGAAATACAGAGTAAATTCGCATTTTTCGAACAGTCTACTTAGTATATTCATCTATGTTGCGTAGACAAGACGCTGGATGGAAAAGATCGCTAACAATGACCGAATTGTGCAATGGTGCTAACTGAGTTAGCTATCCAAAGCGTTCCAGCTTATCACATTTGGATTCTGAAGAGGTCTAGAGACACTTTATAACCTGAGAATTGCCACTTACAGGAAACATTATGATGAAGGAGACATTAGTATGGGAATAAAATATCTTCGACGTACATAAACTTCGTCCTTAGTGATACTTGTGGAAATCGGATACGATCCTACGGAAGGAGATCGCGGTGGAGAATGGAATGAAAAACAAAACAACATCGAAACTGCGGGTATCGCCTAGGATAAACTGGAAGATTGAACTCACCTCTTCATTTACACTTTTTTCTGTTTAATTGTATAAACCTCAGATAAACTATTTAGTTTCTTTTTCCCAGTATTTCGTTGTACTGATAACCATACACAAGGCTCCTGCAAAAAACATTGTGAGAAACGCTTCGGTGCCTCCGCCTTCACAAGACCAAAAAATGGTTCGTGTGCAAAGCTGCTTCTTGTTTTAAGGAAAATAGACGTCATTTTTCATTGTTTCATTCATAGCAACGATAGTATCTTTTAACGCTATATTCACATTTGGATACCCTTTGGTCAAATATGCAGTTTGCCTATTTATTCCTGTAAAATGAGATTTTCCGTACGATGTGTAGGTGGCGCCAATCGTTGCTCCCGGTTCTAAAACCGCCCCTAAAAACTGAGTCATCCTTTAAAGAACCTGTTCCCAAGGAATTTTTCTACCTGCCATTCAGGAAGTGGTACACACTGTGTGGTCACCGAGTTTCACGAAACAGTGCTGACAACAAGTACCATCTCTTCGTCTCACTCAAACAAACAATCAGAGATCCCTCCTCAAATGAGCAGTAGTTGAGAAAAAGCACAAATCTCAAAACGTGAGATTTTTTACAGAATGATTTTATTACAGTTTTGAAATAAAGAAACACATAACAAAGGGCACATGATCTGGGAGTTACAATACGAGCTCATTGTTGCTTTAAAACAATCTGTGACGATACGTTGTGAAGAATTATAAGAATGCGTGAAAACTTTCCTACGAAAACTGAAGTAACCGATAGATCAACAATCGATCAGGGTTTTGGGGATAATGTAGAAACCCCTTAATTTAAGCAAATTTCGAGTACTTAATCAAAAACAACGGATACTTCCGTTTTGCGGGGTGTTCGAGCACAAAGAACTATACGCTGAAAACACAATCGACTACAAATACATGGTGCGAAAAATTTAATTTTTACCTATACACTTGGAATGTCTGGAGTACAACAGAGTAAGAACTGACACATTGTAGGAAAGAATTTTGTGTAACAATCATAAACTTTGAAGGCCGCAAATAGAAGTGAGTACATTTTTGGCCAAATCTATCTTCTAAAAAAGATGGAGAGAGTACTGTGAAACCCGGTAGGCTCAAGTGGAGGCAAACGTAAAGGCAGGCGTCCCGTAACGAAAAGCCATAAGAGATCGACGCATCAGCGTCAAATCGGTACATATTAAAACATATCGGTACAATGAAAAAACATGGTGCATTTTGTGGCAGTACATATTCAATAAACAATTATTATTTTGTAATGAAAGATACAATGACACAGCGCTAAGTCAAAAATATCCACTATATGCACATATATATATATATGTATATGCATATATATATGTATATATAGTTTGTCGCTTGATCACATTGGCATGTTGCAAAGCTTGTTCGTCAGAACACTTCATCAGCAAGTGTTGGAGCTCTGACCCTACGAATACAGAGAGATAAAAGTGAAAGAGTTCTATAACACATTCATATCGTTACTACTGGGCTATCGAACGTAGTTTGGAATAGACCGATTCACCAAAGGATTCAGCATTTCCGACAGCAAGGGAAGACCGATTTCGCCGGCGATACTTCGTTCCATAAGGAAGTGTTGAGAAGCTTGAGCCAAAGTTCTGAAAATTGTACAAATAGTTTCAAACTGATCACTATGCTGTGCTAAATCCTCTTCTGTGTCATACATTACTAGCAATCATGCGATTTTAATCTCTAAATCATTTCAGACGGTGGTGTCTTCTTCCAAGGACGTTCACAAGAAAGGATTATTACTTTCGGTCGCAACGATGACGTTTTTGTTAAGTGTGAAAAAAGAAAGCCGGCAGACACACTTCAAAGCAAAAACTTCTACCGTAATCCTGGCGCGCAGCGGTGTGATGCTAGGCATAATTCGTTGCTTGTGATCGTCACACATAATATGTGGCCATAAAAACACATTTTCATATAAAATTAAAAACACCAGCAGAAGGAAATTTCATGTTTGAACTCTTAATACAGAGCATTTTTCTGTTTCCCCTAAAAGTGGCTAGTATTTCATGGCTTATTTCCACTCTAGTTAATTAATCTTCAAGGAAGTTACATCCATAGAGCTGAATAAAATAAAAATGATGGGGGTAGAATATTGGGGATGTTGTGAACAAATCGCATGATTGATCTTAGACGTTCATACTGTTTTCTTGCCTATTATTTGTGAGCCGCTAATCGGCTGACCTTGCAATAGCCTCCATTATTTTGCCAGCCTACATATGCAAATTGATCGCTCGTTCCTTTACAGTTTGTGAGAATGTCTCCCGTAGGGCTACGGTAATGACATACAGTAATTACAGCTCCTCTGTGAATACTAATTGGCACTCGAGGAAGTCAACCGCGCAGCATATCCACAGTGAATCTCGGCACGTTCAAGGTCATCAAAAAGAGTACGAGTGACAATGGCGATGGCGATGGTGGGAGAGTGCGCTCTACGACGGCGTTTTATCCAAGGCTACCGTGGTTAAGAAGAAGGATTAAAACGGATTGCAAAAAACAGTGGCGTGGAGAGTAAAAGCGGCAGAGAACGGTGACCTCAGAAGAATCCACTCACTTCATCTGTACAAAAATGTCATAGTGAGGTAGAAGGGTGGCGTTCGCTGTGCCTCGATACGCGCCCCATGACGACAACAACGATTCGCGAGCCTTCAGAATGTGATGGGGATTCTTTAGTTGAACTCCGACTGAAACTAAAAGCACAATGATCACATCAAAAAACATTCTATTGGAGAAAAAAGCAGGACCACACAGATCCTGTGAGAAAATATTACGTCGCAGAAAACAGGAACAAAATACCTTGGTCCTCAATCTTCTGATAGAGTGCCAAAAATTTGAAAGCAGCGTAGTCGCATCGGTCAAATCCCAGAGCGTGCAACCTACCAATTAGCTCCGTCCATTTATGAATATGAACATGGTAACCCATCAGAGCAATCAGTCCGGTAGGTAAGCTGAAACCATTAACTACAGTTTTTGAACAGAATTTCAGTGGTGGTTATGTGAGCTGTTACCCCTCTTGGGATCAATCTCACAAAAATGAGACGGAGACGGGTGTATTACTCTGAGTCACAAGTATCTCACGACCTCATCATGATCGTAAACCTTCGCCTAAAGCGAAGTGCCGCCCAGTATTGGGAGACAGCTATCAGATATGGAATAGATAGCGTATTGCGCAAGTCGTGCGCCCGTCTATCCCGTTGCCTAGCCCTCTCACGTCACCACCAATCGCTTTGCTCAGACAGCAGCGCTACTCAAACTTATGCCAGATTACGGTAACGAGTGATGAAGAAAAAGCGTGACTCACTCGACACCATTGGGCAGCTTCACAATGTGAGAGATTTCGCCCTTGAGAACGGCATAGCTGATGTCGATTATGTGAATGGAGGCCCACGACGACTGCAGCATCATCATCTGGTCCTCCATCTGAAAAACTTCGACTATCACGTAGAAGAAAAAGCTGTCTTGCCACAATTACAGTGGAACGCCTAAAATATCATCCGAGCGAAATGCCCTGATAGCATATCAACAGTTCCGTATCCATTAAAAACATAATATTCACTTTTTTGCACTCTGGATTTCTGATATGTGAATAATCGCCCCAGTGGGAGATTCCGCTATTTTATCCGCTATTGACCAATATTCCGTGTTCATTACGGATGTGTCGGTGTTTTGTTTCTCTGGTACAATGCAGTGCGGCATGTTTGATCCTACACACAATTTAGTGTATAGCGCGTAAATTGAAGGTGCCTCTCGAAAGGTGGCCCTCGTACAGGGAACATTGAGGACGGAACAGTTTTGATGTACCAGTAACCACCGGATGTGACCAATTTAAGGGCGGAAAGTTGTGACAAAGCGATCACACAACAAAGGCGACACCGAAGTGTCATCGCAAAAGGGTACAATAAAAAATTGAACCATAAAAGTTCTACATATTACTAAAAAAGAGACCGGTTACAATGTCTTCCCTAAAAAATATACCTCCAGTTGAGGGAAGTACGGTGCATTTTTGGCCCAGGTGACTAGCTCATTCAGATTTGCCTCGACGACACCCATGGAATAAGTGAACGGATCCATTTTGTCGACTTTGTGCAGTATGGTTAAAACTCTAAAAGTGAGTTAGAAGAAACTCGAATCATAGTGCTAACAGTGCTAATTTTCATATGCAATTCTAAGCGCAGGAGCACCTTGGACTCTCCGGTAAAGCCCTCAATAACAACTCCATCTCGTTGTTGTTGATGTAGAATGAATCGACGGTTTTTTCTGTTGGAACAGGGCAGACTGGGAGTACAGGAGATGATCGACTTGAGCCTTCAAGTAAAACGAGTATGGGAATCTTAGAAATTCATCGGTAAAAGAATGTAAAGCACAGCATCACAATAGGTACCTGAACTAGAAGCACTTCTGGTAACGGAATTAGTTGTCTGTGATATCATCGTAGAGTAGCTGACGGGGGTGTGAAAAGCGGAATAGTCAGGAAGTGGAGCAGGGAGATATTGTTCCGTGTAATCGAACGGTTCTGGCTTGATAGTTGGGTAAATGGGGAAAGACTGTGATCTCAGAAGTGGATCATCAATCGACTGCCCCAAAAGTGCAGCTAAGCTGTCGCTGTCTGGCATGTACGGGTTGGGGCGATGTATAATAAAATCTGAAACTGTAAAAGAAACCTATTTACAGCATGATGCATCTGTGAAGCCTAACAATGTTTATTCGGTTTTAATAAAAAACCTTGAAGCGGATGCACCAAAAGAGATCAAGTTGAACAATGACGTCAATACTAGTGTGGGAAAATCACAATGGCAATTTGCTAAATCTGCCCAGCCTCTACAATTATATGTACAAATGATACATTAAATTTACTCTGTTGAGCCGGAGTACTGCTGGAAAGTGTTGGACTCTGGAGCATTGCGTCATATTCGGTTTTCACTTTGTGAGGATTCGCATCAAAATATTGGATATGAGGTGGCTGGTCAGGAGTGCTAAAAACTAAGTTTAGGACAAGGTCTCTCCAGGAAACACTGTCCCAATACTTTTTTATAAAAATTATATGGATAACATAAATTCGTAAAATAAAAGCTACTTATTGCAGAGGTTCGATGAAGTAATCAACGTGCATCTACCTGCTGGTGACTTGATGATCCATCGGTGGATGAGTGGCGTAGAAAGCACCAGCATGAGCTTGTGGAACGTTTCCCCTCAGTGCTATACGCTGCATCCTAGCTGCTCGATCCCTTTTGTAGTAGGAACCGAATTTATTTCTTCCACCCCGCATCCGGTCCTCCCGGACAGCTAAAGCATTCTGTACGTGCTTCTAAATTTGACTCAAACATGTATTTGTCGTCGAAAGAAATGCTCACCACGATCCTCCCCATTTTATACTACATTCCTTAGATCAGAACAACGCTTTCTGTTAGAACTGATCTAAACTCAGAATTGAGGGTTTATAAACAGTTTTGTTCATCTACATGTTTTCCGTGAGACGTTATTTTTATGAACACTGAATAGTTGCTTTATCGGATCGCTGCAATTTATCAGCATCACTTGTCTGGACTTCACTACACTTATTAGAGACTTTCAAGTATCGGTCAGCGCTGTTATCCCTCAGTCGTTGAAAGCCTTCAAAGAGATCTCTCATCCAACAGTGTACCGCCACCAGTAGAATGCTAAACAAAAACCCGCAAAAACGCCACCCCGAAAACCTAGCCAGCCTATAATTATGGCATGCCACCGCTATACGGCCTTTGTTCACTGTCGATTTCGATCCGCGTATCGTAAAAAGTGCGATCATTAGAGCGAACGGAAAAAAATTCCAAGGATGCGACATTTCCAAATATGAAATGGTTGAAGACCTAGTGCCTGCTTTTCTTTGTATGAGACAACGTTGTAGTGAGAAATTAGGAGTTGAGTGGGGTATCATGTAGTCAAAATGCCGACAGCATTTTTTCAGCGGTAATACGGTGGCTACAGTGCGCTATGTTGGTACTGTACATGCTTATAATTCAGGCTGACTGCAACAGCGGTCAGTAGCGATCGTATTAATCAGCAGAGAGATCGTGAATACAACGCCTTTCGATTCACATTTGATGCTTGGAACGATCGATTTACTACGACCGGTTTTTTCGTCGCTATGTGAATACTCCCGGACGGAGATGAAACACAGATTTGAAACGCATGTGGTAGCATCATGTTGAGAAAGGTGCGACGGTACTTAATAGCTCAGTAAAACGAGTTACTTAACACATTTGGTAATTGTTATGAAATGCCACGATTAGAGTTATTCTCCTTGAACACGATATACGGTGAACTGAATGCATGTGGTCAGTATGGCTAAATGACGTACCTTCCACTTTCATACCCTCTGCCATGCATTTTGCGAAACGGCAACTTGGACATCGTTTTCTACACGTTTTATCTACGTGACAAGACGAGTCAGCTGAACATTGGTAGTGCTGCAAGAATAAAAAACAGCGTTGAAGGAGTGCTTAAGGCAACAGGACTGAAAGGAAACTCCTAGATTTGCAAGATTATCAATGAAGCTCTGTTTATGTGCGTGAAGTAGTGAGAATCCCATGAAATTCGTATAAGCATGAAATCAAACAACATGAAGAAGAAATAACTTCAGAGCAACTGAATGAGGATGGAAACTAAAAGGTGGACAAAAAATCGTAAAAAACACTAACCCCTCTGCAAAAACGAGTTAGTTAGCTATCATTTTTACAGCAAGATGAGATGAGGCACGAAAACCAAGAGATGAAATCTATTATACAGGGATCACCAATTACCGTATAATGCCAGCTAAGAGATAGATAGGCCAGAAATTAAATTAGTTAGATAGGAAAACAATGACAAAATGGAAAGGAGGAGAGTAGATGAAAGAAGTGGAAATAGCATAGGAGCCAAAAAAGCAGTAGAGGGAGTGAGTGGGACAAAAAGGAATAAAAAAGAAAACAAAAGACAGAAGAACAAAAAGAATTGACCCTGACTTTCCAGTGATTGAATTTTTCTCTTATTACGCTCTCATAATTGATTTCCTCGATGGTAATCAGAATTCACGGAAAGAGGAAAGCAGAAGGATGAAAAAGAAAGTTAAAACTATAAGAGGAAAAAATGATCTAGAAAAGGAGAAGAACATAGTGCCCGGGTTTAACATTTCAGTTTAAGGTATTCGGGTGTTATGCAAGTGGTTTTCTTTAGAGTGTAGAATAGTATGATCGCATAGCTCTTATTCGAATCGAGCAGTCGGAACGAACCTTTTTGTTCTGGACGGTGCGTTTGAAGAAACCCTGAAATAAAGTGAAGGTTGGTTGCAGGTAACATTGTTCTAGTGGCAACTGTCCTTGGATTTGCGACCGACCGACCCTGAGCTCCCGTGGCCCTGACGGGTCGCCCCGAGGGCAAACCACGCAAAAGAGAAACCTTGACATTAGCGCGACTCGCTTCACCAGGGTCAGTGGATTGCAGGCTAGTCGGAAGCAGAAGAATTGCACAGGAGGCTTAGGCTTACCTTACAGCTCTCACACGTCAAAAGCCCGTAGTGGTATCCGGACACGCGGTCGCCACACACGGGACACGCTTCGGCTTCGAGCGCTGGCTTGAGGCCGACGGTATCCGCACCTACCATGGACCTGCTCGGTGCCTAACAGAGGCCGCGGGCCGGCGTGGCCGCGCGGGCGGGGGCGAGCCGCCCTTGTCTGCGTCTCGCCGCCGGCGCGCACTCTGCCGGCGCCGCCCGCCCTCGCGCTCTCCGCGCCCGCCCGCCGGCGTCGGCGTTCGCTGGCTGCTCGCTGGCTGGCTGCTGCCGGCCGACTAGGTGAGAGTGTGAAGGTCGCGGACGAGCTGCTGGTACTGTAATGGTCAAAAAGCGATGCAGGGACTCCGTGCCAGGTACGCGGCGCAAGTTTACGTCTACAGTAAGCCGTGAGATGGAATAAGATTCGTTTGTTTAAAAGGGAACGCCGAGACGTTTCGGGCAAATCACCGAAACACACAAAACGCACTACACACTGATACAACACCAATCAAGACTGCATGACCACGAAATACTTCCACCAGGAGAATCCGCACTTTCTGTGAAATAATATAATCTCCGGCAAGAAAACCACATCACTATTCGAGAACATTCGGAAGAAGTTTTCAGCCATATGTATCACTCACTCATCGTAGTCTTGTAGCCATGTACAGGTAACTTGATAGTGATCAAAAGTTGATGTATTACCATACGATTTACGACTGACTCCCACGCACTTGCTCACTCCATCTTTGACTCGTGATATGCTGTCTATCATCGAGCACATCTAGCTCTCGTCGCTCGATAATAGACGTTCCACAGCAAATGTGGACCGTAAATTATGTAAGACGAAGAAGAGTAGAAGTATATATGTATATACATAAACACATATATATGTGGATGCATATATCTTCATAGAGAATGAGTGGATAAGTTATCTGCATTCTTAACAGTGTACAAAAATTGACATCCGAAGGACAAGCTTATTTCTGGTATTCTTCCTTCAGAAGGATAGTTCTCAGTGTTCATCATATCATAACACTCCTCTCTAATAAACACTTTGTAGATGCTCAGTATCCTCATTTACATAGGGCAGGATTAACATTTGTGGATTGAAGCAGTGTTCAAGTTTGATGTGATCGCCTAGAAATATCTAGCAGGTGTCAAGGTTTGCACTGTGAACAATGCGCTATCATGCTACAGTAACTTCATGTTGAATTAAAATTCCGGTAATGTAACCAAACCGAAGCGTTCTTCTGGCTAAGTTTCAAGAATGGGATACATTGTGTTTATTTTCTTTTTTTGCAGTTTTTATGAAGAGAAAGAACAAGATTTGTGTAGCGAACGTGGTCGCGAACCATTTATGTTAGCATGTGCTTGCGCCGCGCGTGGCTCATCTCAGCGATGGCTGAAACAGGTTTGAAAAAGGGAAGAAAGAACTAGCAAAAAGTGGGCAACGAGCGAAAGTATAGCGCGAAAAAAGGAACGAGCCCTACGATTGCGCTTGCCTTCCCTCTCAACCAGGTGTGTGTAGAATGATTTCTTGATGGGAGACTGGGATCGTGCACAAAATGAAGAAGAAGCATTGAATGCACCACTATTGTATACCGTATGCCGAGCACTGTCATATCTATGCCCTGTAGAACCTCATGTCCATGAACTCTCCGCGATAAAAATGAATGCCTATTCTATAGTAACTTTACTGAATGCTTGGGAATAAAACGACGATTTACAAACGAAATCTTAGGCGGCTTTAATTAGTCACAAAATTCTTCATCAATGATAGCCAACTCAGGCTTTCAAATATTACTTTACTATATCAACACGTATTCTTTTCGTTTGCATATCTGTGATGTCTCATCTAAGAAGTTGCCGCAACTGAGTGACAGAAAACTGATCTTTTATCTAGATACTACCAATGGTCGGAAATCCTTGTCCATAATTATTTCCTTAATACAATATAAAGTCAACAATGCACAGATAGTAGATGAAAGTCAAACTATTCGCTTTCATTGTAAAAAGGAGCATTACACTATTTGGTCTAAAGTTGTAAAGGAAAATCGTCCAGCTAATCATGTACCACAAGAAATCACACAATACATGACTTCTCATAAGATCATCTAGTAGCGATTGGAACTAAAGAGATTTTCAGTTCTCCAATCCCAAAATAAACTTTGGAAATGAAAAGATAAACCCATATACTGTAGCATCATTAGTTCACTGTTCATTAAGTAACTCCTTTTTTGCCTAAATCAATATTTAGAAATCTATATCACGGATTTTCTAAGGGATAATGGGGTGTTAGCCAATCAGAAAACTTTGTGTTTTATCTTCCATCTTCTAATTCTTTCATGCTATTTAATATGTCAACGGCGGAATTTTGAGTATAAGAGTTGTTAACACACTTGTTCATCTCATGCGATGCATTAAGTAGTTGCCCCACATTTTTGTATAATCTGCCTCAAGTCTTATTCCAATACGAAATTTCGACGTCTCCTGTCTTTTAAAATCCTAAGCAATATACATGCCGAGATGAGAGGATGAGAGTAAGAGTTCGAAGGAGCAAATGGAATGTTTGCACTGACCTCTAGTTTGTATGGGACCGTACAGATCCTCGATATCTAGAAAGCTCGTTAGGGGCCAACCCGCTCTATAATTATCCGCACATTGGTAACTCTTCACCTCACTCGATGCTCGAGCATTGCATTAACAAAACCACCAACCTAGTATGCTTGGAAAATCACGCACAAAAGAAGCACTGGATCAAGCGACATTTCTCAAACACCTCGTCTAACAGATTATCTTAGATATAGACTTCAAATGGTGTAGAATGATGATGTTCCAAGTATGAAGAAAGCAAATTAGAATCTGTTTTCATACTGGTGAACGACATATTGTTTTGTAGCTAACTTCGGTTGGTCAATTGTCCCAATTTTGACGACGAATAAAACGTTATTCAAAGAAAGTAAAGATTAACTTTGCAATTTAAGAATAACAACAAAACAAAGAGATTTTTGAAGCATTAACTTTATCAGATGTCTGGAATGGCATTTTACCGTATGCCGGAAATAAATTGGCTTTATATCTTTATATAGTAAGAAGCATGTGACTATTTGGAATAGACGTTTTGTCAGACACCTTTTTGCAAAAAATGGAATATTGGGAGGGAAAAATAAGGCGATTCAATGACTCTCAATTTAGAAGCTTCTGTCAACATGCGAACGTGCATTAGTTTCAGTGTTTGGCCTAGCAAAGAATGAGTGGGTTGTTTATTGACAATGAATGCGTGATCTCGAAGAATTGCCCAGCTCAGCGGCCGAACCTAACATTTAAAATTTTTCCAGGATTTTTCATCGGTGAAGGAACCACAAATTTCCCACTCTCAGGTTTCCGATTAAGACGTATACACCGAGTTAGGTAGACATACAGTGATGATTATCCGGTGGGAGAAAAGTGTTCATTTCTCACATTAAAGGGGACTTGAACGTAAACGGTAAACACCTTTGCTAAACGCTTTTTATCTACGACAAGTTCACAGAGCGAATCAAGCATAGCCTAACATAAGTTTGAAAGCAGTAACAATCAGAAAAACAAACCTCCATATTTTTTGCACTGAATTAATTTTAATTAACATTATTTTATTTTTCACTGAACTCTTCGTACATCGCCTCTGTGATTTAACAAAACAGCTTTAACTTGCTCTTCGATGCGGAAGTGAGCAACTTTATTAAAATGACAGTGCACTGTTTGACTTGTTTTCCGAAATGTGGTAGTGGCCAGTGGGAGAGCTATACTTTCCTGAGGTTTTTGCGATAGCAGTCGGGAAAAGTTCTTATCTAGATCAGGTCCACCTTTTGTTGACCATATGCTTAATTGCATTTGTTTCGACATTGCCGATGTTTTCGCATTGTCGATGACTTAGAAACAGAAGTAACTGACTATCTCCACAGAGTTCTATGGTTGGAACTATTGGTTAGGAGCCATAAGATAAAATCTCTTTAGAAACTCCACCTGTTCAAACAATTGAATTCACCCAGAGTTCTTCCTTGTTGGCGATGTCATAAACTAATAGACGCCAGCTGCCTAGAGGTTTTAATTCTATTATCAACTCTATTACAATTCTAATGATTTGACATTTACAAAAATAATCCATAGCCGGGGTCTATTAGTATTCGTATTGAGAATGTTATAGTTAGATGAATTAGACCTTCTTTCCTAAAATAACGCTTTGGTAGTGGTCGAAATGCGAGCCAAATCTCTTCATTAAAAGCTGAGGTATATTTGGAGTAGGTTTAAAGTCCATTGTTGCTTTCGTAGTCCTAAATCGGGTTTTCCTCGCTTCGCCAATAATTTAGGAGAAGAATTCTATCCGGAGCTTCCTCGTCAGGCACGATTAGTCATTTTATCGTTACGTCATAACAACCGATTTTTGTACAGCTTATGATGAAAAGAATCGGAGAACAGAGTAAGGGAGGAAAAGGTCTAGTGCAGAGAGCTGGAGTTATGGTGGATGTGGCAGATCTCTATTTGGTACTATTATGTAGTTTTCATGGGTACTGACAATTCTGCTTTGTTTCAATGACAGAATTTTTATGGAAGAGGTATCGTGTGCACGGAAGCCCACCAAGATGATTGCCATTCTGATTTTGGTCATAATTTTTAAATTTTTTCGTAGATTATTCACATCCCATTCTATCATTGGATGAGAATTTCTATAAAAGAGCTTATCGCTGTGAATCACTCATACAAACAGATCACAAAAGGCTTCTAATTTGCTCGGTCAGCAGAAGCTCACAACCTTGCACTCATTATGACACTGAAAATGAAGACGAACTATACTTACCTATTTGGATACTTAGATGGTCCTTCTTCACGGGTTCACTTCGGGGATCCCACCACATTTGCCATTCGTTTCTTTCCCTCACAATCGTCGTCCATGGTGGTGATTTTACTTAAACATGGTAGCGCGTTCGAATCTCGTGCCGTGATCTGTAAAACAAATTCAGCTGTGAGTACAGCCGATTAACTTTGGTTCGCAACACGTCCACCTAAAGTGTAGTTGGCCTTCCTGGGAGATGCCTGCATTCTCGTGGAGTTCACTATACAGTTCTTTT